TTTTGAGCATGGACAGTGGGAGGTAGTCCCTCTAAGCAAGGTTTTCCTTTCCTAGCAGGTAAGCCACGCAGAGAAATAGTTGGCGAGGAAATAAGGGCAGAGCTGGTTTCATAGGCTTGGCTGTGGAGGCATCACAATCCAGGACACTAGGCCTAGGAGGCCAGTGACACCATGTTTGAGAGGAATGATGGGTTCTTTAGGAGGAGAGTTTAATCCTTTATTAATAATGAATGTACTGTCCTTTTAAAAAACTGTTTGGGCAGGTGGACAGGTATGGTGCACAGTATCCTGGAAGTCTGGAGGTCATTGAGATTCTTCCTTCCTTACTCTCCAAGTCTGACTTATTGTCAAGTCCTGTGATTCCACTTTGCAGATACCTCTAACGTCTACCTCCAAAGCTTTCACCTGAGTAGTTTGTTTGTTTTGGTAATTTATTTCCTGGAATATGACAGTAGCCCGTTAACTGTTTGCCCCATCTCCTGTTTGCCGTCTCCTGTCCATCCTCCACATGGCCTCTAGAAAGATCTTTCTGAAACATAAATATGATCATGTCATGATCATTCAGCAGCTCCCCATTACCTGTGGAGTAAAGTCTAGGCTTCTGTAGAATCTGACCCAAACTCCCCTGTCCCACCATTCCCCCACACTGCACCCCACCCTTCACTGTACTGGCCTGCATGTAGCTCTTCTCACCTCCCTGCCTTTCCCCTGCTGGAATACCCTTCTCCCCTGACTACTGAGTGAACCCCTGTTGGGAGGCCCAGATAGAGTATCTTCTTTTCTGTCAAGTCTTCCCCAGCCCCCCTTCCTTTCTCAGCCAGCCTTAAAGTTTGTGTAGCCTTGACCACTGTACTTTGTATACTGGCTTTCTGTGCCTAACGTAACCACCCTCCACCTCTTAGAAAATGGGGATTATGTCTGTTTATCCTTGTAGTCCCAGCTCCCGGATGGTGCTGGGCACATCACAGGAGTTAAATACATGTTTGTTGATTGCCTAGTTATAGGAGACAGAAATGGGATGTTGAGGACTTAGTTCCACTGAAAATGCTGTAAGAGAGGATGTACCTGTGTCTTTTATAAATATAAGCTCTCAATATGTTCTGGCTGCAATCTTGTAGACAACTTGCCACGGAAGCTTTCTCTTCTCCTTATCCGCACCTCCCTACACTCTGATCTTACCCATCTGGGAAACATGATTGACCTGGTTATGAAGTGAACACCTGCTTCTATGTACAGTCCCCACAGTTACCCAGTGAGCAAACCACCTACTTATTTACACTTTTAATAAATGTAGCACAGAGATCTTAAAAAGCTACCCACCCAGCCATTTTACCTGCCTTTGTGCAACAGGTGTTTTGTTTTGTTTTTTGATTTTGTGCAGTCTCTAGCATCAATACTTTCTCTGTGGGCACTTCACTATTAATAAGTAATTGATTACTTCATCAGATTCAGACCCATGTTTTCTGAAGTCAAATGCTATGTTCTTCCTAATATACCACATTGTTCCTTTTCTAGGCTGGTACATTTCTTATTACGGCACATTGCTCACACTTGGGCTAAGGACAAGACATCATCAGTCAGTTGCTTCCTCCTGTTACTGATTCATTCTTTCATCAAACTGCTAGATGGTGGGATACATTTTTTTACCCGAAGAGACCTTAGTCTAGTGGCAAAAACATAGTTATAACTGAGTAGTCGTAAGATGGAGACAAAATGATGCCAAAGCACAAAGGAGAGTTTGATGAATGGGGAGTTGGGGAAGCATTCCAGGAAGAGGTGACATGTAAACTGAGTCTTGAAAAGTAAGTGGATATTCTCAAGGAAGAGAAGAGCATTCTAGGGAGAGGAAACAGCAGAGATAAAGACCTGGGGACATGAAAAGGCTTGGCAGGTGTGAGAAGTTGAGGATTGGCATGACTCAAGCCACTGGCTGCTTAAACTGGGGGGATCCCTCCAGGGAGTTTTCTTCCAAGCTGAGCTTGGTGGGAGCTGTAAGTGCTCCGTACAGCTAGCTGCTCCCAAGGCCCCTCTCTGCCCCACCGGTGCTCCCACAGCTGAGTGAGGTTCCCAGGGCCGTTGCCATTCCCACCCACTCCCACCTGCTCAGTCGGGTGGCATCCTAGAAGGAAAGAGGCAGGGGAGGAAGCAGATAAGAAAGACAGCTTCTGTTTAGACACAAATATCTTGGTAATCAGCACAGATGGGATGAGAAATACCAAAAAAAAGTACATGACAGTTTAGAGAGAATTTGGCTAAATGTTACATATTTTTAACATACCTGTGTAGAGTTTTTGGAACAAGCACCTGGGTCCCTAGAACCTGATTGGGGATGGGGGGCTATACCTTCACCAAGTGGTATTTTTGTTTCAGAGATGTTCCTTTCCCCCTTCCTGAAAGTATCCTTGTGATTTTTTTTTTCTCTCACCAAAATAAGGCACAGGATTTGTCTCTGACGCTGTGTCTCCCTATTTGGACGGCAAGCTGTGTAACATATTTCTACCCAGCGTGAAGCTTCTTGGCAGACTCTTGAGGCCATGCTTTGGTGGCTTCAGAGTTATCTTTGGATCTGTCAAAAGTGCTAATGGGCTTTCTGGCCTTCTTTAAGCTCCTCATTTCTATTTTCTTTTTACTTCCCATACTCTCCTAAAAGAAAAATTCATGTAATTCATCAGCAGTTAAGCTTTTACTGAAATGCTCAGTTGAGGCCTCCTATTTTTGTTTGCAAGAAGAGCTCTGCCATGTCACTGTCTTCGGAGCAAACCCCACCCTGACATCATTAGCTCAGCACTCCTCAGTCCAGCCAGCAAGAGATGCGTTTGGACTAATTCAGGCTGCCTTTCATTTTTTGTTGTGTTTTGTGTTGTTTTTCATCATGTTTGTTAAGAGGCAAGTTGGTGTGGTGGTTAAAACAGAGTTTTAGATTCAGAAGACCTGGTTCTGAAATGTAACTCTGCCCTTTCTAGCTAGCTGACTTTTGGAAGACAACCTTCCTGAGACTAAGTTTCCTCATCTATAAAATGAAGATGGTAATGCCTATCTCATAGGGTCATTGAGAAGGTTAGAGATAACACAGTTATGGTATTGCCTAGCATATAAGGATTACTCAATAATTATGAGGTAACGATAATTTTTACCAATTTTTTTTCCTCTTTCTTTAGACATATGTTGATCCTGCTTTGTTCCTAGGCTGTGCTTTCTTTTTCCGCATATGATTTTTACCCACCATTTTTGAGTGGTATAAAGAAAAGAGCACAGGTTTGGAGACAGACCTGCCCAGGCCTGAGTCATGTCTTAACCACTTACTATGTGACCTTGGTCAAATTACTTTACTTCTGTGTGCCTATATTCTCTTATCTGTATCAAACCCACTGCTGTGGAGTTGATTCTGACTCATAGCTACCCTATAGGGCAGAGTAGGACCACCCTAAAGTGTTTCCAAGGCTGTAAATCTTTATGGAAGCAGACTGCCACATCTTTCTCCTGTGGAGCAGCTGGTAGATTTGAACTGCCAACTTTTCAGTTAGCAGCTGAGCGCTTAACCACTGCACCACCAGTTCTCACCTGTATATAGGGCTAATAATGCCTAGTTTAAGGTGTGGTTTCAAGGTTAACTAAAATAATACATGGAAAGCCTTGTACATTGTAAATGTTTAAAAATATTTAAGAGGGTTAGTGGAGTGTAAGGAAAAGTGTGTGGCTTTGGGATCAGATGTGAGTCCAAATTTTGGTCTCACCAGTTACTGACCCTCTCCAAGACTGAATTTCTTTGGATTTTTGTGAAGATTGCATAAGATTACACATACAGTGGCTAGCACTTATTAGGCATTCAGTATATGGAGCTATTAATTCACTCACTATTTATAAAGGTCGATGGGTAACTTGGTACTACAGTCAAACAATAACGAATCATAAGATAAATGCCCATTCTTATTCCCAACTCATAATATTGTTGAAAAGCACTTTGTGCTGCTTTGCATATAAAATCCACCTGGTTTGCTTGAATTTGTGGGTTATGGATCTTTAATCATTATAAACTGAAACTCCTGGCAATAGCATTCCTTCCCTCCCCAACCTCCTTCATTTTCAGAGGATTGTATTGTGTGACATTGAAAACCTGTAACACTGAAGAAATTAGCATATTCATGTGTATTATTAAAGTCAGGTGAGTATAGAAAGGGGTACAGAAATGAAACACAATACATTTTTTTCCTGAAATCTGAAGAGTACCAATGTGTAGTACTAATTAAAAGACTAAAGCCCGGGCTATAGAAAAAAGCTAGTTAAAACACTGCTTTGTCACAACTTGCTGCTGCTTGTCTTTTTCTTCTTCTTCTTCTTCTCTCCTTTTGCCTTTTGAGTGAAATACCTGGAAATTGTAAATCTTTGAAATTGCTTTAATTCTGGCTGAGCTGTTTTACAGCATGTAAACTGGCAGTGACGGCAGGAGGGGAGCTTGAGTGGCTTTTGCAGTGGGATCTATTGGACAGAAATAGGCTCTGTGCCAGGAGCGTTTTGGTGCTTGTGTACTTTCTTTTGCTTAGATGTACACATAGTACATTGGGAAGGCTCTAGGATCTGGGGTCAGAAGAAGATCTGAGCCACAGTCCTGTCTTCATCATTTATTAGACTGTTTGATCTTGGCAAATCTCTCTGAGCCTTGGTTTCCTCATTTGTATGATTGCAGAATTCCTGTCCTGCTTACCCTGCAGAACTGATCTGATGCACACATGCAGTGCTCGAGATGACCTCATGCTGTAAACTGTGATCAGCACCCAAAGATGTAATTGCCCAGGCTATTTTATTTGAAGGTCTCTTCCACCTTTACATTTCATGATTTTATACATGAGTAATACTTGGTCTCTCAAGCAGAAAGAATAGGACAGGGAAAAAAGAAAGTATTCTTTCTGATTATTTTCTGTTCCTCATGCTTTTATTAGTTCCTCATTTGTAATGAGAACAAACAAAATAAGCCACAAACTTTCCTTTCTTCTTCCTCCTAGAGAAATCTGACAGAATATTTTGTGGCTGTGGATGTAAACAACATGTTGCATCTGTACGCCAGTATGCTCTACGAACGCCGGATACTCATCATTTGCAGCAAGCTCAGCACTGTGAGTAGACAGTCTGTGAGTTGGGCTTTTTAATGATTTTATTTTAATTAAAAGATGTATTGGCAGATTGAAGAAAATTTTAGAAAAAGAAATCAGCCACAGTTCCCTCATATATAACATGTCATATTCATTAATTGTTCATGTTCCTTTATAGTGCCAATGCACATTTCATTTATTCTTATCGTCTCACGATCATTTTTAAATAGTCCACTTGATCGTGTGTTAAAACATTTTATATATGTCCACATAAGCTTCCATCATTGTCATTTTAAAATGTTTATATCATATTCCATTATACTGATGTGTCATTGTCTTAGTTATCTAGTGCTGCTACAACACAAAATACCGTAAGTGGGTATAAAGTACAGGAATTTATTGTCTCACAGTTTTGGAGGCTAGAAATCCAAATTCAGGGCATTGAATCTAGGGGAGGGTCCTTCCTTGTCAGTACCCCCAGGAGTTCCTTGGCATTTCTTGGCATCTGTCTTCACCCTGTGCATGTCTCTGTCTGTTCTGTTCTTTGTATAACTCAGAAATGATTAGGTTTAGGACCCATCCTGCTCTGGTATGACCTTATTAATATAACGAAAGGAAAAACCCTATTTCCAAACAGGGTCATATTTACAGGTACAGGGGTTAGGATTTCAATAAGTATTTTGGGACACAATTCAATCCATCACAGTCATCATCTACTAAATCTTTTCTCTTGATGGCCATTTGTGTTGTTCATAGTTTATTCCTTTGGTAGTTAATACTGCAGTGAACATCTTTTAGCTTCTTTTGATTGACGTAGTTCATATTTTAAGGAACGGGACCACTAGGTCAAAGGGCTTGACCAGCACTATGACTTACATACTGCCAGATTGCTTCCCAAACAGGCTGTGCTTGTAGGCAGTGAATGCTGCCAGCTGTATATGACTGAATCATTTTCACTGTAGCCTTGCCAGAATTGTGTGTTCATTCACATGTATTTGAATTTTGCCAATAAAATGGGTACAAAATGGTATTTCAGGTTTGCTTTTATTTGAATTTCTTTGATTAAAGTTTTGTGATAAGTATAATGTAAATATTTTTCATATTCTTTTTATTTTAGTTTTTTCTTGCTTTGTAAAGGAATCTATATTTCCCTGATATTTTATAATGAAAATTCTCAAACATTACAGAAAATTGAAAGCATTTTACAGTGAACATCCATATACTTCCATTAGATTCTACCCTTAACGTTTTACAGTGCTTGCTTTATCACATATTTGCCTCGTCTATACTTGCACCATCCATCAATTCATCTTATTTTATAATGCATTTCAAAGTGAATCGCAGACATCAATATAAAACAAAACCAAAGAGAAACCAAACACTTTGCCATCGAGTTGATTCCAACTCATAGTGACCCTACAGGAGGGAGTAGAACTGCCCCATAAGGTTTCCAAGTCTGTAAATCTTTACAGAAGCAGACTGCCACATCTTTCTCCTGTGGAGTGGCTGGTGGGTTTGAACCACTGACCTTTCAGTTAGCAGCCGAGCGCTTAACCACTGCACCACCAGGGCTCACTGACATCAGTATAACCCCAAAATCATACCCACTGCCATCGAGTCAATTCTAACTCACAGCGACCCTACAGGAAAGAGATCCTACAGCACTGCCTCATAGAGTTTCCAAGGTTGTAAATCTTTACGGAAGCAGACTGCCACATCTTTTCTTCTGTGGAGTGGCTGGTGGGTTTGATTCGCCAACTTATCGAGTAGCAGCTGAGCGCGTAACCACTGCTCCACCAGGGCTCCCTGACATCAGTATGAAAGAAAGAAAAACACCAACAACCAAACCCGTTGCTGTCGAGTCGATTCCGACTCGTAGTGACTTTATAGGCCAGAGTAGAACCGTCCTATAGGGTTTCCAAGGAGCAGCTGGTGGATTCGAACTGCTGACCTTGTGGTTAGCAGCTGAGCTCTTAACTACTGCACCACCATGTCAGTATACGTCTCCCTAAATGATTTAATATATATATTATTAATTGAAGTTCAATATCTGTTCACAATTTTTTTTTTTTCTTTTGGAGTGAAACAAATTAACTGGGAGTGAAATGCCTAGCATTCTCTAAATGGCCATCAAGAAAAAAAAAAAAGATTTAATAATTGATGATGTATGTATGCCCAACACTTAGAGAGAGGTAGATGCAACAGGTAGAGAGGTAGAAAGACTTTCTTCTAGAGGGAATTTCCCTAATGGAGGCCCTGTGGATAAAATCAGCAGTATGTTTACCTATGAATAAATATTAAAAGGTGCCTAGTAATGAAAATGTTGTGAGGCTATTAGAGTTTTCTTTATCATAACTTCATTATTTTATCATTTCATTGGTTATTGTTTGCTTCTTGTTAAGAGCTAACGATTTTTTGATCACCTACTCTGTGCTATGCTATTTCTTTGTTTTGTATTTTATTTTAATCCATAAATGTATTTTATAATCTCAGGGCTTGAACACCTAGACTGAGTTTCAGAATAAGAGTATTGCTAACTGGATTTATCATTGCCTCTATGGGGCCAAATGGAATGAGAGTACATTGGAAAGAGTCTAGTCCATAACCAGTTACTTACTGTTGCTTTGGAGTATTAAACTGCAGTCAAACAGAAACAGAGTATTATCTCAGTGTGACTTACCTAAAATCGAATCATACTGTTTTTGAGCCCTTAATATGTGCCACGCACCATCCTAAGAACTTCGTATCCATTAATTAATTTAATCCTCACGACAGTTGTTTGTGGTAGACTCTTATTTACCTGCATTTTATACATAAGGAAGAATATATCTTCTGTGTGATTTTGTTCAGATAAATGTAGTGGATTAAACACACAAAACCATTTCTGCTCCTTCCCTAAACTAAAATGAAATAAAGGAATAAATCAACAAACACAAAGAGCAGATGCAGCAGAGATTTGAAAATACTATTATCAACTTTGGTGAAATTGACAAGAAAAATTTAATTTAGCAAAAGTGGCTCAAGAAGATATAAAAAAGTTCAATAAGGTCATTCAATTTATAGAAATGGCATCAGCACATATGGCCAATAAATACATTAAAAAGATGCTCAACTGCATTAGTAATCAAGTAATTAGTAATCATATAAACTTTAAAGGAAAAAAAAAGAAATGATTAACACAGAAGTTAGGTAGTGGTTTCCTCATAGGGAGGGAAAAGAATGTAATTGGGAAGAGGCATACTGCAGACTGCAAAAGTACTGTATTATATTTTGACTGTTTTCTCTCTTAAGCTAGGTCAGGGATCAGCACTTTTTCTGTAAAGGGCCAGATAGTAAGTATGGCTTTACAGGCCATATAATCTGTTGTAGCTACTCAATTCTGACCTTTTAGTTTACAGTAGGTAAGCTAATGGGTGTGGTTATGTTCCAACAAAGCTTTATTTATTTTAGTTTGCCTGCCCCTGAGCTAGGTGGTGGGTTTTCGATTCTTAAAACTTTTTTCTTTAGAAGTTGCTTATATGACATATATACATATATATATTTTTTTGGTATATAATATACATACTTTTATATGTTTCAGAAATCTTAGAAAGTTAAAGAAGAAGATACCAAGCCATTTTATCATGCAATTTTTGTATATCAGGAATAGAGAGATACACTAGTTCTCATACAATGGCTAAGAATCAAAATTACATCAGACTTTGCAACAGTAATTCTAAAAGCCAAAAGACAGTGAAACAGTATCTTAAACTTCTAAGGGAAAATGATTTCTAACATAAAATTCTATATTCATTCAGTGGAAGCCCTCAGAAGAGAGCATCATAATCCCCACTGTATCTCTCAACCTTCCATTGTCTCCTATACTCTCACTTTCTCTTGTGGATGAACTGTCTGTCCTATCTAGAGCCAATGACTTTGCTTGTCTACCTGACTTCATTCATTTATTTTGCTCATCTAAGAAATATTTATTGTGTCACAGTTGTAGGTACTGGGGACACTGAGAACAAAAATAGGCAAAAATCCCTGTCCTCATGGAGACAATAAATAAGTAAAATATATAGTATGGTAACTAATGAGAAATACTAAGGAATAAAATAAAGCAGGGAAGGAGAGTAGATGGGGAGTGGTGAGGTAGCAGGGATTGCAATTTTAGATAGGATGGCCAAGCTATGCCTTATTGAGAGGTGACACTTTCGTGGAAATTACTCTAGCAATGAGCTCTTCTCTCCTACATTATTTTCTTTTCTTCTCTACTGGCACATTCTTATGGTCACTACCAATATGATATTGTATCTCCAAATTAAAAAAAAAGAAAGAAAGAAAGAAAACTTCCTTGACCTACACCCCTCTAGCATCCCATTTCTCTTCTCCCCTTTACAACAAAATTCCACAAGAGAGTTATCTCTATTTACTATCTAATTTCTCCCCTCTTATCCTGTCCTCGGTCTTCTGTAAGGATATAGTTCCCACCCCTGTACTGAAACAGCCTTTGTGCACTTTACCAGTGACTTCTATGTCAACTAAAGTTAAAATGATGAGTTAGTGCACTTATAAAGCTCTTAGAAGAGGGCCTGGCACATAGTGATTACTGGGTATATGTCTGATAATAAGTAAATAACTTGTGTAAATTGGAGGTCACATTTTAGTGTTTAAAATGTGAAAATCAGGAAATAGTTATATAGAAATAAGGAGGTAAATTCTGTATTAATGTGATTCCCTTGAATCAAGGGAGAGGAGAATTATGATGTTGATTGCTGCTTTTCAATATAAGCCTTTAGTACTATTTGTTTGTTTTTAAGCTATTAACATGTATCACTTGGACTTTTTAAAAAAAAATTCTTTTAAACAAATAGTTGATTCTTATCTGAGTCCTAAATTTTACTGCTTGATGGTAGAAATCTTTTCATGGTGGTGGGTGGGGGGAGCTCTGTTTATATCTACGTGCAGTTGGCAGCATCCTGATCAAAACCAAAACCTTCTGCCATCAAGTCGATTCTGACTTATAACGACCCTATAGGACAGAG